TGGACCATGCAATCTTTGGAGAGAGTTCTATGTTCATTAACTTGTTCTTCTATCTTCTTCTTTTTTTTCGGTCCAAACATTCATTCACTTGATTTGTGATATATAGCTGTTTAGAGTCGTGTATTTAAAGTAATTTGCTAGTAAAGAATATATATAAATTCTGTATCTCTTTACTGACAGCATTTAATTTTTTGTAGCCCCGAGAGCAGAAAGGCATGAGACCATTATCATCAGAAGATTCTTAGGCTTTTATATAAAAGGTCTCGTGACGCCCTAGAATTGTTCTTTTCTTTTATAGGGCTATGAATCTTCCCAATTTGTTGAAAGGAATTTATTTTTTTTAAAAAAAATCCTGCACGATCCATCATATTCGCACTGCAAATCTTTTCCGAGTCTAAAGGCAATTAAAATCATGTATCTTCGACTTCAATTTTATATTATTGGTTGGTTGCCTTAGGGCACAAGTGTTGGAACTTTCTGATACAGGCTCCATCAATTTTCAACTTTCAATTTAACCTCACATTAATTTTTTCAATCAATGGCATTAATTATAGTAACAAACAAACACACACACACACATAATGGCTCGTTGGGTGCAAATTAAAATGGGAATGAAAAATGGAATGGTGATAAATATGAAAGCTTTTTATCATAGACATTAGAATACATCTTCCTAACAAAGTCCCAAGTTTGATTATATATCAGACATAATTAAAAGTACTATTTCCGGTTCTTATTATATGACTTTTTTTATAGTTTACAAATATGATTTTATAATTAGAATCGGAGGTAGTATATCAGAAGAAAAATGGAGCATTCCATTCTGAGCATAGAAAACATAGAGAGGGAAAAGGCTTAGAGAGGGGGAGAGAGAGAATTAGAGGAAAAGTCATAATCGGACACTGCAAAAGGAGGAGACATGATGAAATATTAGAAAGGAGATTGTGAATATTAATAATGTTGCCTGCTGTAACTTAAAACAGCAAACAATGGCCGCTGGAAAATATTCCCACACGCTGTCAAAATCCTCCCAACACACGCACACACACACATCAATTTCTGCCCAAACAAAACCCACCGTTTTATGTTGTGTTCTTTTCCCCCATTGATTAATTAATGTTAACCTAGCAGCTATATCATTCATTTCTAAATTTAACTTCATCCTCTCAAATATTCTTCCATTCCCCCTTCCTGCTGAATCTTCCCCACTTAGTAAACACCCATAATATCTTCAGTCCAAACAAAAAAAAACACCCATAATATCTACTTGAAGACAAACCATAATGGGATTGCTTAATGTGACCTTTTTTTTTAAGTTTGATGGATAATGTGAGAAAAAGTTATAATATTTTAATTTTATTTTAAATGTACGAATATAGGTGTGAATAAAGTTAGACTTTTTATTGAAATTTCAAATAAAGTCAGTAGTTTCACTACTTTCATATGGTTCAGATAGAGCACTTTAGAAATGGCGATGGGTGGAAGGATAATGTACATTTTGTGGGGTTTATGACAAAGTCTGTGCATTTAGACTCAGCCAATCACCATCACCGCTAAAAATGAAAGAAAAGAAGCATTTTACCGTACTTTATGGGTAAAGATGGGCCCACTCAGCCTGTCGGTGGATTCCGGTGGGGCCCATCCTTCCATATCCCTTTCATTCTCCGAATTACGTTCACTTATTAAGGTATGTGTCCACTAGCTAACTCACATAAACATTGCGTATTTCATCATTATTTTATGATTACTCCCAATTTTACATCACATAGTACTCCAACTACGTTTAATTTGACTCACTTGGCCCGTTGAAACATTAAAAAAATAAAAAACAGAGAAGAATCGGATAAATAGTTGAAGAGCACGTGTCGAGCCATTAATTACTGGGGTCCATCAGAATTTGTTTGTTCTATAGGCCGAATCATCATCCACCTAATTGAAGAGCCCCTATAGTTTTACTTGTCCATAACATATTCATTAAGGGTCCGTTTAGATCAGTGATTGAAAAAGTAGTTTATTAAAAAAGTAACTTATAGAGAAGTGAAATTAGAAAAAACTAAATTGGATAAGCTGAATTGTGTTTGGATTAGAGTTCAGAAAAGCTAGATTGCAAAAGTGAGATTGGTAAAAAGTTGTTTTGATTATGATTGAGTAAAAGTAAGTTTGGTTGTAAAATGACCAAAATAGATATGAGTTTTAATAAATAATGAAACATGATTAAAAAAATAATTTCACATAATACAATGAAATTAAAATAATTTAATATGAAGAAGTCATAAAAAATATTTTAAATATAAAGTGAAACATGAAAAAATAAAAGTATATTTTTAAGAGCATATTTAAAAATAAAAATATATTTCTAACTTATTCATTACTTTCAACTAATTTTAATTGATTTTTTATTATCTACAAATTAGTTATTTGAGGCTTATAATAAGAACCAAAAGAGATAATAAATTTCTTAACTTTTTCTCTCTCCATATTTCAAAAGCCATAAGCCATAAACTATAAGTCATAAGCTGTTAATTTTAGTTTATAGCTTATTGTAGTTTTTCAGACAAAAGCTCGATTGCAAAAAAGCTGATCTAAACAGACCCAATTTTGTCAATCGAGCTTATAGAGCTTATAAGCTACTTATAAGCTCCAAATAAGTGATGCCAAACAGGCACTAAAAAGAAACTCTGCGATGTAAAATGCTCTACTTGTTCTTCTGGGCAATATTGCTTTTTCCTGGTTTGACATTATTACCTCTTTACAGTGAACTTACATCACTATTTATATCTTCTCCTGTTTTCTTTAATTATATCTGGTCCCATAATCTATTTGCATAACTACTCAAATAATTAATTTAGTTGTAATGTTCATTGAGCTGGATTTTTCAAGTTCATATGAAAATTAATTACATTTTTGGTATTGTCTATTTACTTGAATTCAAATGGCGTCATGCTTCAAGCGAGGAAATTACTGTTTTGACCCTTTTTTTTTGGTTTGTTTAGGGGTAATACAAACTTAAATTTTGGTTTCTCAAATTTATTTTTATTTTAGTTTTGGTTCATCAAATTTTAAACGATAGATTTTGATTCCTTAAGTTTATTTTTATTTATAACATTGTTTCCTATAATCTAATAAAAAATTAGATTATTTTACTCCTTCAAAAATCAAAATTTAAGATATAAAATTTGAAGAACGAAAACCAAAACGAAGACAAATTTAAAAGATAAAAAATTATATTAATTTTTTTTTAATTCAAAACCTGGAAGAGTAAGTGGTATACTAGCGTACATATCCCCTGTGACGTCACACCGTTGATGAAATAATTGTATTTTGATTATTTTCTGGCCGATAGAAAGCATAAAGTTGGACACAGAGTAATTGTAAGCTACTTATTTATTTATTTATTGTTTTGGTGGAAAGGCGAACCCATTTCGGGGGTTTGTTGTAGAATTTCAATAATAATATTACTTTTAAAGCTCACGGTAAAGTAGGGGCATTATTCCCACAACATGAAGCTTCCAAGTTCCAACTGTATCTATATTCTCCCGTATGAGTATGGCCCCAAAAAAGCTTGCCAAATTATGTATTCTTTAAACCTTGACTACAACCAATAATAATAATTAATGATCTATAAATCATATTACCTCCTGTTCTTAATAAAAGAACTAGTTTGACTTTTAATTTGATCACAAATATAAAATCTCAATTTTTATTGTTTCTTATATTTATTTATTTATTTTTTAAATAGTTCCTATAGTAACTACAAATATTAAGGATTCTATCAAATAATAGTTCTAATTAATACACATGATTAATAATGATATTTTAGAGAAAACAACATCTATTATTACTAATAACTAACTTAATTAATTTTTTTTAATATACGCAAATTAATTAATTAATTCTTATACCACATCTGGTCTTAATTATAAGATCTTGTTTATAGACTACAGATAAGATCTTATAATTAGTACCGGAAATACTATTAAGCACGAGACTAGTATATAAAAATGTATATATATTTTCTCCAAGAATAACTAATTAGTGATGGGGGGTCCAATTATATGGATGAGCTACCAAACCATGGGCTTCGACGGACATGCAAGGCCGTTCAAACTTGGAAGTAATGTTTTTTATTTAATTAATTCTGATGCGTGGTGGGGTTGACTTTTTGAATCAAAGTTTTAGTTAAGCATATAATAGTTTTTCTTGGACTACTACTCCTCCGGTCCTAAATATTTAGGACCGGAGAAGTATTATACTTTTTTATTTTTGCATCCTGGATAGTTTTATAAAACAAGTTCATGTTAGTTTCTATTCATGCCCTCATTTTTGCATGAAGCCAGATGAAGGCCATTGTGTGCGTATAGCTTCACATGAGAAATAAGAACATTCAGGGCATAGGGTGTTGAACTAATTGGGTGGCCTTTCTTGTTGATGATCTTTATCAAACTTTGTAGACAAATTAAAGAAAGCTAAATTAGAAAACTTTCCTTCATTTATAAATTAAACCAGCCATAATAAAAATAAAAGTGAGTCTAGGATTAATTTAGAAAAAATTAATAAACACATGAAATAGGTCTTACACATGCAACCAATATCAACTCCCCAACTAGATCATATATTAATTACAGGAAGAGTATATGATATTTTTAAATGTATGATATAGTGTCAAACGAATTAAAAAGAAGACAAGGAGTCTTTAGAACCATGCACCACGCAAACCAAACAGCTAAGTCAAGGGCGAGGTGGAGGAATACATTTATGAACACACTAAAAGTTATTTTAAAAGAGTATGCATGTGCAAATTAAATGTGGCTGAGAATCTCAAATTAGCTTCTTTGTTTGTCCAGAATTCTTGATCAGAGGAGATTGATTAAAATGCGGATTAAAGTTGAGAGAGAGGTGAAGTCAGACTCAGATCACAATAAGAAAGGAGGCAGTGGGATTTCATATCCAATTGCTCATTCCTCTGTTTCACATTCACACACAGCCATCCAATGGGCAGTCGCAGCCAGCTCATGCACCCGACGCTGACCTCTCACCAACCACTATTTTCACTCTCACCCCCTCACTTCTCTACAATTCATTCATTTCATATTCTTTCTTCCTTACCACAACATTCCATTGCTTCTCATTCCATAGTTGTTATACTACTGTGACCTGTCTCGCTTCTTCATCCCTTCCTTCTCCTTATATACCTGTCCCCTCACTCTCTCTACTCTCACGCTCTCTCGCACTACCAATGGACTATGGCAGGCTCCAACCCTCCCAACCCGGTGGCTCCTCCCGCCGCTCCGATTTTTCCATTCCTCCCCCTGCCTCCCCCCGCAGAAACAAGAAACTCATCTTCCTCTCCCTCCTCGCTCTTGTCTTGATTGTGGCTTCAGCCATTTCCGCCGTGCTCCTTGTCGGCAACAGACATCGGTCTTCGGGTCCGGACCAGTCGGGCATCGGCGGGAAGCCCACTCAGGCTATTTCACGCACCTGCGGCAAAACTCAGTTCCCTTCCCTCTGCGTTAAGTCCCTCCTCGATTTTCCCGGTTCCACCGCCGCGTCGGAGCAGGACCTCGTCCACATTTCCCTCAACATGACATTGCAGCACCTGAGCAAAGCCTTCGATTCCTCCACCGCCATCTCCAACGTCCAGATGGGTCCGCGTGAACGGTCGGCATATGAGGACTGCCTCGAGCTCCTCGAGGATTCCGTCGACGCGCTCCTGCGCTCCCTTACCTCTGTCGTTCCCTCCCCCTCTGGCGGCGGCGGCGGCGGCTCGACCGACGATGTGCTGACCTGGCTCAGCGCCGCACTCACGAATCAAGACACGTGCAGTGAGGGGTTCGCTGACACGAGCGGCGCAGTGAAAAATCAGATGGCCAGTAACTTGAAGAACTTATCGGAGCTCATTAGCAATTGTCTGGCGATATACGCCGGGAGCGATGCCGGCAACGATTTCTCAGGGGTTCCGATACAGAACAGAAGAAGATTAATGGGAGACATTGACAATGGCGATATCTCGGGCGAATTCCCAACCTGGTTAGGCAAAAGAGACAGACGATTGTTGAGCACGCCGGCACCGGCGATACAAGCTGATATCGTCGTGTCGAAGGACGGGAGCGGAACCGTTAAAACCATCGCGGAGGCGATAAAGAAAGTGCCTGAGCACAGTAGTCGCCGGATTATCGTGTACGTGAAGGCAGGAAGGTAAATAAAGTGATGATTCAGTGGGCTTTTGGTAATTAGACGATTCGTTTTCAGAAAAAGAAAAAAGTGTGATCATTTAACTTTCAAGAAAACTAATCAAATCAATCATTATGATGCAACGAAAATATTGTGTGATCATTTGAGTTAGTGACTCTCGTCTCAAATTTCAATCAGCAGTGGTCAATTAATGATGATGCGTGCCCGTGAATATTTAACAATCATTAATTTCCCTGTGTTGCTACCTTTCCACAACACCAATAATAATGTCCTCCATTAGGTTCTGAGATTAAGCAGTAATTTATGCACGCACATTTGTAGATACATATAGGATTATGGCTATTGTTAGTAGCATAAAAAAGTTGCTCGGATAAATGAGTTGGGCAAGTGCAATGGTAGAGGCTGCAATAAATGAGAACCAAATTTGTTGGTGGTATGAAATGGTTAGGTACGAAGAGGAGAATTTGAAGGTTGGGAAGAAGAAGACCAATGTGATGTTCGTAGGTGATGGGAAGGGCAAGACAATTATCACAGGAGGCAGAAATTTTGCGCAAGGCACCACTACCTTCCACACTGCCTCCTTCGGTTGGTTCCCTTTTCACCTCTTTAATTCTTTGTTTTTTCTTTTTGGTTTTTTTTGCCCCTTAAATTTCCTTCACATATTCAATATCTTCTTCTTCAATCATTTCGTCTTACAGTTTTGCCTTTTTACCATTCACATTAATTCATAAAACACTAAAATGGGGAAGAAGCCAACAACTCGGAAACAAGCCACATGGGCAAGTAGAAGTTAAAAATTAGATTATGGCTTGTCAGGTTTTTTTAAAGATTCCCACCTCTCTGTTTGCATGTGTACTCCCTCCTTTTCACGGGGTTCAGTAATTGGACCCCATACATAATGTATCCTTCAATATCACTCCTCCTTGTCCACGTAACAAACGACTTCAGCATGTTTCATGACACATTTTGTTTAAAATACTCCTCTGGTCCTTAATATAAGATCTATTTAACTAATTTGATTAGATTAAGAAAATTAGGTAAGTTAGTTAATTATAAGAAAAGTGACATATTTTTCTTAAAACACCATAATCATCTTTCTTAATACCTCCTCTCCCTCTTCTACTTGATTATGGTTGAGGGAGTATCTATAGGGATAATTTAGAGAACATTAATAAATATGAGAAATGAGTCTTACATGTAGGACCAAAACCAACTCAAGAATTAGGTCCTATATTAAGGACCGGAGGAGTATTAATTAATTTGTTTTTCAAGTCAATATCTCCAACTAATAAACCGAGCTCCTTTAGTTAATTATCACTTTTTAATATTTTACAAGAAATAACTAATTTTAACTAATTTCATATTCATGCAAAAGTGTAGTTATGTGCTTACCACGACAATAAAATTAATAGATCTATAGGATAATGTCCTCTTCATCTTATAATTATAACCTATTTAACTTGAAAGCATAGCGCATGGCCTAGCCTTTCCCAAATCAGTAGTAGCTATCAGCCATTAAATTATGGATGGTCCGGGTTATGCAATTACATGCTCTAATTCAAACTTGTCCCTAAGGAACCGAAATTTCCTGCACCAACCAGGTTTTGTTGTCAGCTACTACTAAATTTCTTGACAATTACTACTTGAAAGCTTGTTTCCCTAATTGAACGGCCTTGCAGCTGCTTCTGGGGCTGGTTTTATTGCCAAGGATATGACGTTCGAGAACTACGCGGGGCCCGGAAAGCACCAAGCGGTGGCCCTTCGTGTCGGAGCCGACCATGCGGTGGTGTACCGATGCAGCATCATCGGGTACCAAGACACATGTTATGTCCATTCCAACCGTCAGTTCTTCCGGGAATGTGACATTTATGGCACTATTGACTTCATCTTCGGCAACGCCGCTGTGGTTTTCCAAAGCTGTAACCTCGTATCTCGAAAGCCCATGGCCCAACAGACGAACACCATCACGGCCCAAAATAGAAAAGACCCGAATCAGAACACGGGTATTTCCATCCACAATTGTCGGATCCAAGCCGCTTCAGATCTGGAGGCGGCCAAGGGAAGCATCCCAACCTATCTGGGCCGTCCGTGGAAGATATACTCTAGAACCGTTTACATGCTATCCTACATGGGGGATCACATAAATCCGCGCGGATGGTTGGAGTGGAATGCCACATCTCCGGTAGACAAATTGTATTATGGAGAGTATATGAATAGTGGGCCGGGTGCAGCTGTTGGGGGCCGGGTCAACTGGCCAGGGTATCGGGTTATAACGTCCAAGGAGGAGGCAAGTAGGTTCACGGTGGCGCAATTCATAGCGGGGTCGTCATGGTTGCCGTCGACGGGGGTGGCATTTGTCGGAGGACTATCTAACTGAATGAATTCAATTTCGCTCAAAAGGTATGGGCGTGATTAGCGTTATCGAGTCTTTGGTTCAAAATGGCCGGGAAAGACTTGTGTATTTATTGTTATGGGTTTTTACGACGTAATTGTACCAAAATATAGGTTTTCCTGGTATCGATTTTTTGCTTCTTCAAATGTTGTAATAAAATTATATAAAGCTGTAAGCAACAATAGTCGTTTTATAGTAATTATTGTTTGTGGGGCACTGATTGGAATTGGCTTGGAGTGAGAGGGGGATAAAGTTGACCATTGAAGTAGAAGTAGCAATGGGTCAGAAAAAGAAAAGAGAACCAGAAGTAAGAATCTCATTAATTAATATGGTGGACTCATCCAAAATAGAAGAGTAAAAGGGTGATCATGATATTACAAGAACGAGTCCTCTACAACCATTTATGGTCTATATAGTATATACTATTTTCATGTTCTACAAACACAACACACAAACACAAGGTGGTGATAACCACACGCGCAACATGAGATTGAGAAGAGATAGTTATTGTAAGTATTTTACTCAACGGGCTAGCTCATCCAAATGACTATCCATGAGCTCTGAAACAATACCAAGAAAGGCATCTTCACTTGATCCAGGAAGTGCAGCTTCTTCTGCTTTCTCAACAATCTGCTCGATCACAGATTTCTTCTTCAGTGTTTCTCTGCACATGATGCTTCCGATGCTGAAAGGAGTGAATCCTCTCTCAGCCCCTTTCTTTAGAAGCATAGTGGATATGCGGAAGACACGGGCACACTTGGCAGGAAGATCCCATCCATGGAACTTCAAAAGTTCTATATCTGCTTCGGCATCCAGAGATTTTACGTAATCAATGGTATCTGCAGAGTAAGGCTCCTGAGCTTGTGGCCAGTACAACCAGTCAAATGTGCAGTCTTCAAACTGCAAGAGAAGTTAAAAGAAGAAGAGAAAATCAACATGAAGCAACGAAAGAAGCACAAGGAAATAGAAATAGCAGCAGCAGAAGCAACAATAATAGAAATAGATTGGCATCCAGATAGTATGAAGAAAATGCGATGTTTACAGATATATACAGGCAGGAGTGTGACATCATATATACTGAGCAGGGAATATGCGGTTAGAATGACTACCATCTGCTAATGGTTACAATTGAAGGAGCAGCCAAGAAAGAAAGACTTCAAATCTTTAGTAAATACAAAACATAATTACAGTATCACCACATCTGGATGGTAGTGGACTTACGATCTCAGGCAAGCAATAGCCATGATCAATTGGAATAAGCACTATTCTACCACCTTCGCCGTCCTTGCTAACCAAAATGTTACCAGCATGCCTATCTGCATTTGCCAATCTGATATCCAACACCGAAATCTTGTGCACCTCCTCTGTGGGAAATGAAAGAGGACCCATATCTTCACAACTTCCAGTATTCTTCATAAACATCTGAAGTGACCCTATTTTTATATCATTTGAATCATACATAAATTCCTTGGGATGATGGAATCCTTCATGCAGGCATTTGACCATAGCTGTTGGAGGTACCCCAGCAAATCCCTCCTCCCCATTATTACTACAAGTGCGAGGTCCATCCCTAGGATGATCCAAAATGTATGCTGCAACTTCTCTCAATGCCCCCTGTCCTACTCGTGTGCCTTTCTTCAAGCCTTCCCCATTCACAGAGACTGGAAGTCCTCGAGGATTATTAACAGCCATTGGCTCCTCATCAATAGGCTTGAAAACAGAAACGTACTTTGAACCAGATGCATCTTGCATGAAATAAGCACCTCCAGATCCCTCTGATGATTGAATTGGTTTATTGCCCCTCTCTAAGCCCTGTGAAGTAGTTTTAATAAGCTCCTGGATCACCTGTGGAATTGTGATACTGGAGTTAACAATGATTGGCTCCAGAAGAAAATCTCTTATCAATTGCTTCCTCTCCAGGAACTTATTGGTCACAAACAGTGGCCCGAAATGTTCATCACCCAAATTTACCACCTTCTCATGTGCGTACGATGCCTCAATTGACAATTCAAAATCCTTCTCAACTGCTTTAGTCCTCACTTTGGCAGACCTTCTCACCAACAAACGAATTACAGCATCATTATCCTTACAGATTTCTTCAATGAGTCTCTGGTCTTCAAGTGCCTCGCCATCACATATCAGTTCTTGATCCTTGAGGTTCAGAAATCCTTTGCCCTTCCTTTCAATCTGCTGCTTTACATAACCCACGTTTCTATTCTTCTCAACATAAAACTCAAACTCCTTTCCACATATAGTCCTAACTGTAATAGCTTGAATATCAGAGAGCCTTAGCACCAAGTGCAACACATTCCCATCAGTTACACCATAATCACGAACACAAGAATTGTTCCTAGCCAATTCCCTCCCCTCAAAAACCAATTTCTGTTTCTTTACAAAGAAGCCTCTAAAGGTCTGAATTCTAAGCTTCACTGAGGCAATTGAATCTGTCTCCATAACATGCATGGGAATCACAGATCCACCAACACTTAGGTAAATCAAACTCGAGTCCCTCATTTGAGGACCACAGAAGCTGGTAAATCTACGAGGGGAGGTAAAGTATTTTTCATACGCTGGACTAAGTGCCACACTAGCCATTATCTACTCGAAGGTTCAAAACCTTGCTTCCTTAAAAATGAACAAGCAATGAACCTTGAAACCAGTAATAGAATACATGTGTTCTATTTGACAAACCCATTTGGTAAGGAAATATACAGAATACACAACCTTTACCTTTCCTCTTCCTTCATCTCCATTCTTGACACAAATCTAGCAAAAGCAGACGATGCAACCTAACCAGTAAACAAAGAGTTTACGCACTAAACTTGTTGTGTAGTCTTCTTCCAGTAGTCAGAGATCCTAGCTAGACGAAATCTTTTAAGGAGGCCCAGAAGAATTAAGATCGCCTGAATCCTTGAATTGATCCACCAAAACTACTTACATTTCTTTTTCAAACTTGAATGACCCACTTTTAGCTACGTTGTTGAGACTATTATAGCTATTTAGAAAGAAAAAAAAAGGACCGCAACGTAATAACCCTGCAAAAAGAAAGAGCCTCATAAGAGTTCAGTCAAATAACAAGAAATCTGTGAGAATAAGGGGAAAAAGCTAAATTAGACTCGTAATAACCGATATCTTAAGAAGAAAAACATAAAAATAAATCAGTTAGCCCTGTGAATACCTATCCATCTTCGATAAATTTCAAATTTTCTCCTATAATTTCCGAAGAAAATAGGAAGAAAAATGTTCTTCCGAATTACTATGCATGATTTGAAGGAGGAAAAAAAACTGAGCAGCGTGATCGAAATACAATAAACAATGGATTTCATCTCAGCTGACAGTTTCTTCCCGTGTCAAAGTTCACTGTCAGGTATCTATGCGAGAGTTGGAAAAGCTATAAACAGAAATTTCAGACATCTACAATGTTCATAGAAGCGGAAGGATATCCACAAACGGAAAACATGTGAGAAGAATAATGAAATTTGTTTCTCGCGATTCAAGGCAAGCGGAGAAAATATTTCGCCAAATTTCTTCCCTACTTCGATGAAGCCGAATAGTGTAGACTGAAGAATGACAATCTATAAAACGAATCTTACAGAGAGATCGATCAGCTCACACAGTGAAGCCAAACCGCAGAAAATCAGGTAGGATGCAGATGATACGAGATACTTGAAAAATGTAGCTCCATTATCCCCGTCGCGCGTGTTTCCTTCGTCTTCTTCCCCAGAAGAATCGGAAATTCTACTTTCTCCTTTTTGGTTTTCCCGGAAAGTGAGAGAGAAGGACGAGGAATGGACTCAATGGAGTATTGAAATGAAGTGCAAGGGGGGACGGGGGTCTATTTATAAGGACGTACTGGACGACAGAACGCCGAGCTCAGTGGCAGGCTACTAACGACGTGGGAACGGACGTTACTATGTTGGACATTTTCGGATTTTCCAAATGTTAGGCAAATGCTGGTTGTACGTTTCCAGGTACTATATTTTTGGAAAAGAACCCGTGAGTTTTGAAGTATTTGGATGTGGACCCCTTCGTTCAACTCTTATGACATTATTATTCATATTTAATATAAAAATCAATTGACTAATTTAACGTTTAATTCTTATAACATTATCATCTGAATTTAATATAAGAGTTAGTTAACTAATTTAAATTTAAATAAGTTAAAAAATTTTATTAACCTAATTATTTGTAATAAATACTATTACTAATTATATGTATTAGCTACAACTATCATTTGATGGATTACTACAAGAACTATTTAAAAAAATAGATAAATATAAAAATAAAGTGAATTGAAATCTTATATTTAAGATCAAATTAAAAATTAAATTAGTTTTTATATTAAGGACTAGAGGTAGTGTTTTTTTCCTTCAAAAGTTCAAAGTTAGAGATTAATTTTTTTAAACTTCAAATTTAAAATTCTACATTTCAAACAAGATGCATTACTTTTAAAAAAATTGCTTAATTAATTTTATCATCTTACTAAAAATATAATAAAAATTTATGTTTAAATTTAATATTTAGTTTTTTACTAGTATATTAAAAATGAAATTATGATTTAGGTTTGGAAAAAAATTAATTTCTTCAATAAAAATGATTGATGAGAAGCTTTTATGGCATACATGAAAGTAAAAGCATGGTATTTTTTTTAAAAAAAGTATAAATATAATTTGAATTATTTATAAATGTAAATTTAATCTATATATGAATGAAAATTAATAACAAATATATAAACAATCATGTTGAAAGTTGGTTTGTCATTAATTTTTAACTTTTGAGTTTTGAGTGTAAAAACAGAGTGGAAGTGGTACGAAAAGGAGGGAAAAGGAAAAAAAGAAAAAAAGAAGCAAAGTACGAAAATGTTATCGTAACGAACTAACGATCACAAACGGGCGTTAAATTAAAGGGAACCAAATAGTCTGGGAAGATTTTTTGGTCGCGTCTTCTCCTTTTGAATAAATTGGAAACTTGGGCTCTAAGCCTGTCCAAACACAATTACGCATGTCACTACCCAATAGATTTCTGCCACGTAAAAAATCTTCGTAATATTTCACCGAAACTTCCTCCTGGGTTTCACTCTTTGTTCATCGCAACCGCGTTGGTTATTTTACTTTATCATCCATCAAATCAAAATAAATATATAATAAATTCTTTTTGCCTACAATAAAATATAATAAATTCCCAAACCATTTTACGGGTAATCAAAAGACATAGTAAATAAAACATATAAATATGAAATTGAAAATTGAAGGAAACTGTACTGTAAAATGATGTTCTTTATAATTTATCTAGGCTCTTTGCAAGACATGAACCGTGAACCTGTCTAAATTACAAAGAACAAGATTATGAATCTCGATAGCTAGCTCCTCAAAGGTTCAGAAGTTCGTCAAAACCTGTCCTGAAGTTTTTGTTGTTGTTTCAAATCAGATTCCAGTCCCATAATATTCATATGAAAGAGATGGCTGTATCATGATATCATGAGCAAAAGTTGGTCCACAGGATTATTGTTTCAAATCTCACTATCAGTATAAGAAGGATTCAGTTGATGCATAAGCCATCTAAACATGCATTTTATAAGCACTTTTTAAATTTAAAAACATATATTGATTCAAATGAGCCCTGAGAATCAAATCATCTAAAAAATTTTTATAGAAAGACTAGTATTTTATTTTAGTGAAAAAAATTCCATCCCAAATCACAGTACCACCAATCTTAGGATTATTTCACTTCGCTATTCAGCATTTTTTTATAATAAATTTTATAAATTAGAATAACAAAACAAATAAAAATTATATAAGGTAAAGTACTATTTAAGATATTGATATTATTTTCTAGCAGTGCCTAACACCCTAATTTTATTTATTGTGCACTCAACATCTTAATATAATTTTTAGAGTGCATCCAACATTATTTGATGCTAATTTTTAATTATATTTAATGCCATAATTCTTTTATTATTTAGAGCGTTGAATACACTATAAATAGTATTAAAATGCTGAGAATATTGAATGTAACTCATAAATAACACATGTATAATGGGTGTCGTACTTATGTAGGAGGTGCTATCATAAAAGTTTGTGAAGATCGTGTGGCACCAATTCTTTCACCTTGACGGGCCAAAATAGTTTGTGTTAGGTGGTTTAGTGCTTATGTGAATTAGTGGGTAATGGCACTTATATGGCAGAGGCGAATCAGGAGAATGGCTTCCATTCTGCATAATTCAATTTTCTTCCCAACTATGAACAACCTAACTTTCATTTGATTTGCTTTAAAACTACTCAGGTCATGTTTGGTAAGCATAAAGGTTGGTTTTATGAGAAAGAAAATGAGGGAGAAAATCTTATTATTATTATATGTTTGGCACTAACAATTAAACTTGTTATGAAACTCGTGCTTCCATCAATTATCAAATATGGCGTTGGCTATGGAAAGAGAGTTTCTGCCATGGAACCCCAAATCTATTATATTTTATCCTAAATTAACAATTATTATTTGTCCTAAATTATCAATTATTATGACTATAATTTGTTATTTATTTGTTGAGATGTTATGTTTTTCTTCTTTTAATGATGAGATAAATAACATTTCTTTGATAAGACGAGATGCTCGCTATTTTCTTTTTCAAAATATAGATATGATCAAGCATGCGAAGATTGGCTCATTTGGTTTAATCGCAAGGCCTTTGATAATGTAATGCTATGTAACACAATTGGGTAGTATAAAATATTAAAATATATCTGATTTTTAACGCAAGAACTAATTATTTAATTTGAATATATTAAAAAAATTAAATAAATATTTAATTATAACACGTGTGATTTCATTTCTCTAAAACAATCCTATGCTATATTAGATTGCATAAAAGTTTAGATGTTAAGTAAATTAGTCTTAACAAATAATAAATAAGAGATAAAATTGATTAAAACCTTGTACTCAGAATCAAAACTCACCCCCTAAATCTTATTTCCTAAAATATCCTTACATTGATTGTTTGTATAATTAAAAAGGTTATTAAATTTTAAGTTATAGTTAATTTTAAGTTATAGTTAATAAAATTTAATGTTATTCCTAATTTTGTTAAAATATGTTAAAAGTGTTTTATAAATAGGATTAGGGGATTTTTTTTAAAAAAAAATGAAACGTTGGTTGTCTAGTCTGAAAGAGACCAGAGATTACTATTAAGTTTGTGCATATGTATGCTGAGAATGCTTACACCAAAAATTCCATGAGAAGTCCAAGTGCGTAGTAAAAGCACCAAAAAGTCAGTCATTGGATCACTAATTCTTTGCTTCGCCTTGGATCCATACTCCATCCATTAACCACGCATGCCTTGCATCCCAAGGACCGAATCACTTCACACGAGTTAAAAACTTTATTAAATATTGATAATAGTGTTAAATATTTATTATAAATACGTAGTATTTATTTTATTTTATTTGAGGAATAGTTAGAATTTCTTAGTCCTGTAGCTGTATCGAACAATCTTTTTTAGAAGGCCCACCGTCGCAAGTTGTTTAATTTCGTCTAAATATCCTTTGTTTTGAAATTCCTTAACTAGACAACCTTTCTAATTCATTATTTTTTTTGTTTAATACATTTTGTTGAGAATAATTTTATAAATTTAAAAATCATTACGTAGTTTTAACCGAATTTTTTGATCCCTGCTAAATTATTAACATGCCGTTATAATAAAAACCGGAGGCAGCGTGCAAAGATTCATTTAGATATCATGCAGATGAGAGTTTTTTTTTTTCTTTTTTTCAAAGAAAAGAAGTTTCTTGAACGTAATAACTGTTTTATTACCATTTTTTAAACCTTGACTTGAGCATTGATTCATTATTAATTATTACCACACTCCCAGTTTCACGAAGTAATCAGATAATTTGTGGTTTGTTGGTTGGTGATGATTAGCATCTCAATACTTTCAAGGATGGGGTTAATTCACATGGCAAAATAGATTTGATTATTAAGAAGAAGAAGAAGGGACATGGAGGCAGCCACCCTCCCAAAAATTTGGATCTTGTATGCCGAAATATGACTTTGTGTGATTTCGCATTTAGGGACTACCGAGCTTTCATTAGTTCATGAACAGAATTCAACTTGTTCACCAAAGGGGGAAAAAAAGAATTCAACTTTATGGCACCCCGAAAAGCGAGTACAATACATTCAACGCTCTTGCTGCATTTCGCCTGCTTTGACCACATTCAATTGACAAATTCCAGGATCCACAAGTCCTTGTTTAGAAAAGTAAGAAGATTTGAAAACCTCTGCTTAAGACTGAGTTAGAGTTACTTTTTCTTGTTTTGCTTTGACTTGAACGTGACTCGCACGACTCATACAAGGATTCAATAGAATGACAAGGCAGGGTCATGATCATACTGAGGACCCGGTTAGAGTTTGCTGGCAGGTAATATTACTCTAGCAAAGTGATGAAACCACGGTAAGTGAGACATTAACCATAAAACCCTCTTATCCTCAAGTTGCTTGGCTAATTTAGGCAAATTAAAAAGCTAAATAAATTACTTAATTTTAATAAATGTAACATGATCTTCTTAAAATATCAGTTTACAAGTTCAACAACTTAGTTTGAAGAAAATGATCAATATAATAGATAAAATGAATTAAGATATTATATTTAGGACTAAAACCAACTCCATAACTAATTTAAGATAGGAGGAGTATTTTTTTTTTTCTGGCCAAAAAAACCTACTTGCTTCTGGAGGGTGATCTGGCAAGGACTGCA